CCCCAAAACCCCAAAACCCCAAAACCCCAAAACCCCTCACTAAATCATAATTATAAATATTTCAGACAAAAATGGACTTCATGACTCGGTTTAAAGGCAAAGTCTCTACTATTGGGAAAGATGGAGAGATGGGGCTGGTAGCAAGTAAATTTTTATAGTAATGTTCTCTGTTAGGATCTTCTCAAACTCATATGTACCCTCAGAACTCGAATGTAACGGTTTTGACAAATATTGATAACCCAAGGAACTCTCAGGTGGATTATCATAAATAAGCCACAGGCTCCACAAACTCAGTATGGGCCATACACTAATGGGCCTATTGAGGGAGACATGTTCTCGATGAACGGAGCTGATTCTAACCGATTTGAAGTCATGAGTGATGGAGCTTATCCAAAATATAGAGCGCCTGCAACAATGCAAGAATTTCAGCATTCAAATTATGATAATATTGACTCAACAAATGACAATTATGTTCCTCGAGCAGCTCCAAGTTATCATAAGATGAAAGACAGACTCAATAGTATGAGGAAGTTGAATGCTTCTAATGTTGTAAACAATGTTTTGAGCAGCAATAAGAAGAAGAGACCTGAAAAAATAGCAGCTATGAGGATCGATCATGCTAATAGAGACACAGAAGCTAGTAAGCAGAATCTCAAACAAGTATGTGAAATTATTCGTATTTTGATACAAAATTCACAGCATTTAAACATTTATAGTCAGAGGAGCAAGAGAGTAGAACTAATCGAGCAAATAGAGACAGAAGAGAGGAAGCCAAAAATGTTAAGAGTAAATCCCAATTTAGACATGCTCGTCCTCCTCTGCCAAAGAACACTGATAGAAATATTTCAAACGTGGCCAAGAATCGAAATCTCAGAATAAAGAGAAGCGAGACAAAGTACAACACTGATGTTGAGGATATCAAAAGAAAAAGTAGGATCCCTAGGCTATCAAAAGCTTCAGCTGAGAGAATTCCTGAGCCTAAGAAGTATATCCCTGAGTCTGAATATACCCCTAGTGAGAGTACCAAGAAGCCTCAGATGAGAAGGTCTCATTCATATCTACAAGATAAGGTTAAAAAAGTCGATGCTGATCCAAATAATGTGCATAATTATCGTAAAATAGCGAATTCTGCTGCTAAACCTCCAGTGATGGCTAAATCTAGCAGCCGGAAGGCTGTTAATTACAAGCCGTACACTTTGAGGGAATACAAAGAAACCTTTGACAAAGGCAATAATTTTGGAAACAAACATAGAGGAGGTCTCGGTGCTAATATCGGAGGTGATGAATGGCAAAAAGAAAATGAAAAACGTAAAAGAATAAGAGAATTTGCCTCAAGAGTTAAGAATCAGAGAAAGCTCATAGATGGATCCATGCGCCGCACCAGTCAGACTCAGGATTCTGAGAATAGAGAGAAATAGCAAGAGGGAGATTGCTATTGAATATTCTAAAGGAATTTCAAAACCTGTCAACCAAAGGATGGAACATCAGTCTGAAGTTCTCGATAATTATGAACATCCTAGTTCGATGTATAGTAATGAATACTCTTATCAGCATAACCAATATTCAGAAATTGATAATCTTGAGGAAGATGATAACAACTTTGCCAGTGAGATAGACAAACTTAAGCAGATGTTCGATAGGAACTCATAAAATATTATTATTTTCAGAAAAAAATGGGGTTTTGGGGTTTTGGGGTTTTGGGGTTTTGGGG